TGTTTATGTTTTGAATTTAGGCTATTGACAGGTCTCAAAGAATATCTGTAGATTTTAGTATTATAATATTTATTTTCTTCATTGTACATTATTTGTATGTTATCTGTAGAATTGCCCAGAATCCATGTCTGAAGAATTTGAAGATCTTTCCAACATTTCTGAAAGTCCAAAAGCATTTTTTCAGAATGTGGAGATGCTGGTTTCTAAAATGCAGGAGCGTTTGATGGACGTCACCAAAGACACCGAGATCAAGATCAAATCTGGAGAAGGTGAAGAGACTTTATTAAACTTTCTATTCCCATATTTCATCTACATAAGACTAGGTTTGGTACTTAATATATACTTAATATACTGTATTCTTAATATAACTAATATTAGGGGTGGGAATCACCAGAGGCCCCAAAATTTGATGTTATGCTACTTCAGCCACAATATTGTTGGGTCATTCCATGTCGAATCATCCAAATTTTGGCTCAAATTTTTTATTTTGTTAAGGAAACGAGATACATTTCTAGTTACAAGATAATTTGTTCTTCCTCTTTAAAAGAAAATATCATCTGTATGCAAAGTGACCCACATTTGGTTTTTGACCAGTGAAATTGTGTACAATTTAGCGATTGACTCCTGGAGCCATATTCAGATCCCAATATCTCCGGAACTGAACCATACTGGGCCGTAGAAACGAAGATGTTAAAAGGAAAGTTTGTGAAGACCCAATCTCTAAAAGGGCATTAAGATGTCTTTAATGCTTCTTGAGTTACAGGCATGCAAACTTTGGCGAACAGCACACAAAAAGTGCTCTTTCCCCATTTTTGAACGGACACCATTGGCATATAATGCAACAAAGATTGCTAAAGTCAACAGATTTCACTAATAGAGCTGCCAATCTCTGTGTGAAAATAACGTAATGATGCTGCCATCTTTCTGAAGTCATTTTTACCCTCCTGTAATTTGGCTCCGAATCTCAGGGTAAAATTTTAATTTTGACCCCCCTCTACAAAATAGTGCATTACTCTGTGAATAATCATCCATGGCATTTAATATTTTGGCTTTCCTCACTATACATGTTTATCTGTCTTCAGAAAAAATATTAACAAAATCAAAAATTTGAGCCAGGGAAGTTTCTGAAATTTGGTTGATTTGACACGAAATGACTCACATGCAATTGTAAGCATTTCTCAACAGGCTGAGTTTTGCAATAACACAGAGGTCTTCAGCCTGGTTCCTGGGGACCCTCTGTCCTGCAGAGTTTAGCTACAACCCTAATCAAACAAATCAAGCTCCTCGAGACTGCTTGAAAACACACAGGCAGGTGTGCTGAAGCAGCTTGGAAACAAACTTTGCAGGACTTTACTCCCATTATTCACATTATGAACATCTCATTTGCTTTCTGTCACACCCCTGTGGACTGTTGATTGTAGTTTCTCCCTGTGTGTCCTTATTTGGTTGTTCCTGTTCTCATTATTAGTTAATCACCTCATTGTGCTCACCTGTCTGCCCCTCGTTATCTGCCCTATATCAGTTCCTGTCTCTTGTATTCTAGTTTGTCGGTTATTGTGAATGTTACCCCGAGTGTGTGTGTCTCACCTACCTGAATCTGCCTTGTTGTGTCTACATTAAAAGTCATTATTGGAATCCTTGTCGTCCTCGTCGTCCTGCCTGCCTCCACACACCGTGTCGTGACACTTTCTTCCTCAGTTGTGCCTCCTAAAGCTGATGCACCTGTGACACTGCTTATAGGTTTTGCCTAAAAAGATGGGCAGTGGGATTGTCCCAACTGCATGATGAGAAATGAAGGCACGTCTAGCTGTTGCATCGAATGTGAGGAGGAGTCAAAGCCAAATATAAAAAGCAAAAATGCACCAGAACCTGCATTTAGGTTTAGTTTTCTTCCTGCCAACCAACTTGCTCCAACAGCATTTAAAGGCCCTCAGAGTACGGATAAAGCATCTTTGAGCTTCGATGCTCCTTCTACTCGCCCTCCTGGTGGATTCACGTTTGGCAGCAAGCCTTAATCTGTTCTCAGATACGATTGAAAGATATGGCCTCACAGCTCAGCTCACTGTCTGTGTCTGTGTAATTCTGCCCTGATACGCCTCCCTTCATTGAGAATCACCACTGAGAACATAAATGTGTCTGCTTCTTCTCGTTTGCTCTCACCGTGTGATGGGAAACGGCCTGCTTTCAGCTGACATTCAGAAACAGGGCTGTCTGTTCGAATAAATGTTGTGTAATCAGGTCGGGGTTTATCGCTCAGTGTTATAGGAAGTATAATGTTGCTTTGCATGCAGAGGTGTGAACCCAGAGTATATGTTCGCTTGTGCATCCTGAATAAACTTTGAAGACTATGAACGCATCTCCTGTGTGTGTGTGTGTGTGTGTGTGTGTGTGTGTGTGTCTCCCCACCTGCCTAATAATGGCATTGGGCTCCACACTCACTCAGTCAGTCACTGCACACCCACACAAACTGTGATGAGGTGTTAAGAGTGCATGTGTGTGTGTGTGTGTGTGTGTGTGTGTGTGTGTGTGTGTGTGTGTGTGTGACTGTAAGTCTGTGTGAGTGTGCGTGTGTGTGTGTGTTTCTTTCTCTTCCCATCATCATGTCAGAGACTAGCAGACACGGAGCAAAGTTAAGTTTGTTAGACATAAACCAAAATTTTAACAAAAAATAAATCAGATTTATTCATGTTCATATTTTTTCAAATGTTTTTGTTTACTTAGTTATTATTTATTTAAAAATATTTCTTGTAATAGATTTATATTATTTAATTTACACAATTACAAATCGTAATTATTTATATTATTTATAAAGAGGTTCAATTATTATTTATGTTAATTATTTTTTTAATTTATTTAGTTAGTTGATTAAATTTACTTTTTTATTATGTATTTATGTTTACATTTTCCCCCTAACCCTAAATTTAAGCGATGTGGAACAAAGAAGCGGATTTTAATGTTAGAATAATGATATTTCTATGCAGGATAGAATGCGAATAAAATAGGAGGTTTGAAGATAAGAATGATATAATCTTGTAGTGACTTTTATTTTGACGCGCGAGTGCAGAGCGCTCACTTCCGGTGCCGGGTGAGTGTTTCCTGGAGACGAGCTGCGGCTGTTTTGAAAACAACATGAATAACGAATCTGACTCTGATCTCGACGAAAGAATCGAAATATTGAAACAGAAATATGCTCAGAGGAGCAACCAGGTGAGTTTATGGGTCATTCGGGAATATTTCAGTCCGCCAGAGTTTCTAAAGTGAAACATCATTTTATCTGAACCCGTAAGTATACAGATATAGTAACTATATACACTACATGAAACTCAGCCCTGTCACAGATGTATGTATTTCTCATTGTGACGGGGTTGAGTTATTTACTAAATATATTAATAATTTTAATTAAAATGTAAAATTTCTTGCTGATTACCATCTGACATGTTAAGGACTAAATCTATAAAATTGTGGTTTTAGTTAAACTTCTAAATTAAAAATATATATATTTTTTACAAGAATAAAGACGATATTTGTGTATTTTTAGCTTCAGTCCTATAAAAATTTTGTAATAATTGTTACATTTGTTATCATATTTAATATAATTCAAGAAAATCCAATAGGAATTCTGTATACTTCCCTTTAAAGTTTCATTCTAGCTCCGATTATTGATCTTCTATTATTATTATTATTATTATTATTGAAACATTTAATATATCAAAAAGATATAATCTTCCCCAGTTGATTAATTACATGAAGAATTGCAAACATTTTTTGTATTACACGTTTTCTGAAATGTTCTGTTTAAATATGCAAATGAGGCATCATCTAATTTGCATACATTACCAGCACATAAATCTGAACATTAGATAAAGCCAGGTTCAGATTCTTGTTTGATTTAGTCTCCGCAGGTTCCAGACGCGTCTGCTGATGGACACACGAGAGACTACCGTACGGCTCTCAGAGAGCTCTACAGGACGCTTTCTGACCCGCCACAGAGGTCAGGGGTCAGGGGTCATCTGCTGTAGTTAAGCTGGCTTGAGAAAGATCTACTATTTAATCTTCTTCTTCTTCTTCTGAGCCAAAATTTGAACTGCATCTCCTCCTACAACCACCAAACTCGGGTCAGAGCTTCAGACTGGTCTGAAGTTAGTTGCTATGGCTTTTCTAACTGAACCAGACTATCAAAACCACCAGAAATCCCATAGACTTTCATTGAGACGTATGGTGTTTTTAAGCTGTCTATTGCTATAACAAAGCTTAACAACTTGCTAAAAGAACAACCGAGTTTAAACCAGCGACTTTCAGCTTAAACCAGCTAAGATTAGACAACTACCCTAGGCCGGTTTTAACTGGTTTTTAGCCAAATCAGCTGATTTGAAGCAATTTTTTTTTACTAATTCAGCTGGTTTTACTTAGTTTTAGCAGGTTTTTAGCTGGATTTTCTTCATTCATGTTAGCAATATGCAATAAATCACGTTAAAACATGCTAACAGCATGTTAATCATACTAGAAACTTGCTAGCAACATGCTAGTAACTTGCTAATCATGCTAGCAACATGCTAGTAACATGTTAATCATAATAGAATCATGATATTAACTTGTTGATCATCTAACAACATGCTAGTAACATGCTAATCATAATAGAATCATGTTAGAAACATGCTAGCAAACATGCTAGTAACATTCTAATCATGTTAACAACATGGCGATCATGCTAGAAACATGCTAGTAACTTGCTAATCATGTTAGAAACATGCTAGTAACATGCTAATCATGCTAACAACAAAATGCTAGTAACATGCTAATCATGCTAGAAACATGCTAGCAACATGCTAGTAACTTGTTATTCAAGCTAACAACATGCTAGTAACATGCTAATCATAATAGAATCATGCTAGTAAAATGCGAATCATGCTAACAACATGCTAGTAACATGCTAATAATGCTAGAATAATGCTAGTAACATGCCAATCATGCTAACAACATGCTAACAACATGTTAGAAGCATGCTGTAACATGTTAATCATGCCAGCAACATGCTAGTAACTTGCTAAACATGCTAACAACATGCTAGTAACATGCTAATCATAATAGAATCATGCTAGTCACTTGCTAATCATGCTAACAACATGCTAGTAACTTGCTAATCATGATGGAAACATGTTAGCAACATGCTAGTAACTGGTTAATCATTGTGTGTGTGTGTGTGTGTGAGTGAGTGAGTGAGTGTGTGTGTGTTCATGTAATGTGTGTGTGTGTGTGTGTGTTCATGTAATGCGTGTGTTCATGTGATGTTAGTAACTTGCTAAACATGCTAACAACATGCTAGTAACATGCTAATCATAATAGAATCATGCTAGTCACTTGCTAATCATGCTAACAACATGCTAGTAACTTGCTAATCATGATGGAAACATGTTAGCAACATGCTAGTAACTGGTTAATCATGCTAACAACATGTTAGTAAAATGTTAATCATGTTAACAACATGCTAGTATCTTGCTAATCATGCTAACAACATTCAGACTTTAATCTTTCAAACTATTTTAAACTGTGTGTGTGTGAGTGAGTGAGTGAGTGAGTGAGTGAGTGAGTGTGTGTGTGTTCATGTAATGTGTGTGTGTGTGTGTGTTCATGTGATGTGTGTGTGTGTGTGTGTGTGTGTAAAACTATCTCAAACTGAAAACTATCTTACAGCTTTTTAAAAACTTTCTGGCCTGGCTTTCTCAAGCCAACTTCAAAGGCGTCTCGGTCAGCAGGAGTGGGCAGCACAGCTGTGTGAGCGTGAGCGTGATCTGCAGCGGAGAGAGAGTGCGTTCCTGCAGCAGCAGCGAGGCGCTCACAGACTCAGAGGAGTCGAGCAGGAACAGCAGAGACGCGTCCAGAGCCTGCAGCAGGTCTGCATCTCATTCACTCGCTGCAGCTTTATGAAAACCCACTCATTTGTAAATCACGTCCGTTAAAGGGATAGTTCTCCCAAAAATGAAAATGAATCCATAATTTGGATGGATGTGCTTTATTGGACTTCTTTTGGACTATTGAAAAATAACACCCATTCACTTCCATTATAAGGGTTGGAAGAGCCATGGCATTTTTTTATATAACTCCGATTGTATTCGTCTGAAAGAAGAAAGTCATATACAGCTAGGATGGCTTGAGGGAGAGTAAATCATGAGGTCATTTTCATTTTTGGGTGAACTATGCCTTTAATTGTCTATCAGACATATTTTATTGGATTCTACTGCTCAGAAAAAAATAGTTTTACTTGGTTGATACACTTTAAAAGCTTTTTAATCATGTTAAATACAAATTATACATTTAGAGTTTTGAGGAAAAATGGGTTTTAATTATCCTATTTAACATCTATTTGACATTTTAGTTATGAAAATCGACAAAGAAGCTGACATGGCATTAAAAACAACAACCACATTGAATTATTAAACATAATTGAATGAATAAAATGATTAATAATTCATGCCAAATATGTTTGTTGTTTCTTACAGCAATATCAGCAAGAGAAAAGTGAGCTGGAAGCGGCTCTGAAGCAGAAAACCAAAGAGAATAAGAGGATGAAGGCCAGCTTTGACTCCATGAAGGAATTAAATGATTCTATGAAGAAACAGGTGAGACATATGTCATGTGTTTATATATATATATATATATATATATACTCTGCTGTTCAAAAGTGTGGGATCAGTAAGATTTGTAATGTGTTTTAAATAAATCTCTTCTGCTCATCAAGGCTGCATTTATTTGACCAAAAATACAGAAAAAAACTGTAATATTATGAAATATTATTAGAATCTAAAACAGCTGTTTTCTATGTGAATATCTGTTAAACTGTAATGTATTTCTGTGATCAAAGCTGTATTTTCAGCATCATTACTCCAGTCTTCAGTGTCACATGATCTTCAGAAATCATTATAATATGCTGATTTATTACAGTTTTTGCTGCTTAATATTGTTTTGGAAACTGTGATACTTTTTTTCAGGAGTCTTTGATGAATAAAAAGTTCAAAAGAGCAGCATTTATTCCAAATAGAAAGCTTTTCTAACAATATACACTACTGTTCAAAAGTTTGGTTTAAAAAAAAGAAAAAAAAGAAATGAATGCTATCATTCAGCACGGATGTGTTAAAATTGATAAAAAGTGATAATAAAGATTTATGTTGTTAGAAAAGATTTCTATTTCAAATAAACGCTGTTCTTTTTAACTCTATTCATCGAAGAATCCTGAAAAAACTATCACAGTTTCAAAAAAAAAAAAAAATATTAAGCAGCAAAAACTGTAATAAATCAGCATATTAGAATGATTTCTGAAGATCATGTGACACTGAAGACTGGAGTAATGATGCTGAAAATTCAGCTTTGCATTTTAAAATATACTCAAATAGTTAAGTTATATATTTTATTTGATAATAGTCAAGTCAAGTCACCTTTATTTATATAGCGCTTTTAACAATACAGATTGTGTCAAAGCAACTGAA